ATTTGTTTTATATTATTTGCAATATGGATATACGATTATTCTGCTTTTTCTATATGTTTTACAGAATTTGCCCAACTTTGTGGAGGGATTTTAAAAACTTCGATTTCTATAAGTTTGAGGACATTGGAGTTAATACGTCGAAAAACGTTGTTACGACGAATGGCAGATTTTAGTTGGTGCTAATGAGACTAAATATACAGTGGTAAGGTGGTTAGTTTGTTTTTAAACCAACTTTCAAATAAATCAGCGGTGGTGTCTTCATTGTAATATTTTTCGCAGACAGAGAAAGTCCATTTGAAATCCAACCATCTTTAGAGCCAGCATGCAAATAGTTATTTTTTTACCTCTTTTTGATGGCGCGTTTGTTTTACACTTATCAGTTGAGTGTCGAACCAGGTTTCATCCAAGTAAATAATTGGCCTTTGTTGTTCTCTGTAAATTCTAATTTTTAAATTATCTAAATATTCCAGTCGCCATTTCCGAATTCTAAAAGATTCCATTAAAACTTGTCTTTTGTCATTTTTTTTAAATCTAAAACCCATGTGTTGAATACACTTCCATAAGGTAGTTCTGCCATATGTAACACCGGTTTCATCTTTTTCAAGCCTCCTAATTAAGATATCTAATGTAGGCATGCTTTGTTCCTCGTATAACTGGTAAATTTTACGCCGTGTTATATCTTGACCCTTGCTCATGGATACATACATGAGCATTAACCCGGCCTGAGGAAAACCAGAGCTGTCTTCTCTGAATTCACTCAGGCAACTCTCAGCAGGCGCGTCCACGTCGCGGGGGTGGGCCCGACACGCGTATGAGTCGGTGGCTAAGTTCTGCTGGGGACCCAGTATAGCGGGGTATAACGCTGTCCCCTTGCCCGGCGAACGTGGAAACCCAGCCCTCAGGGGGTAGAATGAAGGCAGACTGGAGTTGGGCAGCAGCAACTCCAACACCAGGGTAAAGCCGGGAAGAGATACTTCGGTACGGTTTGCTGCTGGATATTAATGTGCGACTGTCAAATAATCGACAGTATCGGATATTAAACTGCGATGCAGAAGGCAAGGAGAAACCACTGCATTATGTTCTCAAGAATAGCCACTATGGATATAAGTACTAGTCAAGAAACGGCCCCGAGTCCCCGGCGTCCCTTAGATAGGACAGGGATGCGAAGAATCCCCGGATGGAAGTCAAAAACTGTATTAAAGCGTATCGCAACATGGAATATTAGAACCCTGTTTCAGACCGGAAAGCTTGCAACAACAATAGGAGAAATGCAAAGACTACATATACAGATACTGGGACTATCGGAAGTACGCTGGCCTGGCTCAGGCATTTGTTATCAAGATGAAGCAATCTTCTACTATTCTGGTGCAGACAATGGTGATCACAGTAATGGAGTCGGCATAATCCTAAGGAAAGAACTAACACTCAGTGATAAATTTCATCCCCTATAACAACCGCATGATGCTACTACAAATTAGAGCACATCCCTTAAATATAAATCTGGTACAGATCTACGCGCCTACAAGTGGGAGTAGCGAAGCGGACATAGAAAAGTTCTACTCAGATCTAGAAGAACTAACAATAAATATTAAGAAAGAGGAAGTGCTCATTATAATGGGCGACTTCAATGCAAAGATTGGAAATGGTAAGGTTCAAGACTGTGTTGGTAATTTCGGATTGGGTGCGAGAAATGAACATGGAGACAGATTGGTGGAGTATTGTCAGGAGAAAAACCTAACAGTCACAAATACATTCTATAAGCTACACCCTAGAAGATTGTATACTTGGACGGCGCCGGGCGATAATGATCTTAGACGAATAAGAAATCAGATCGACTTTATAATGATTAATAAAGTTTTAGAAATGGAATACAAAGCGTAAAAACATATCCAAGTCCAGACGGTAACACAGACCATACATAACCTTTTGCTAGCCAATATAAAATTCCGCGTAAAGAAGCAAAGTAAATATAAACCGCCACTCAAGCTAAATGTAGAAAAACTTCGAACCGAACAATATAAACAATTATTCAACAAGAACCTCCATGAAACACTACACGAAGGGAGTAACTGGAACGATAGGAAAAATGCAATATTAAAAGCTGGGGAAGAAGGCCTCGGAAACATCCCAGTGAAACCAAAAAAAGAATGGATGACCCCCGAAATTCTTATACTTATGGAAGATAGAAGGAAGCATAAGAATAAAGACAGAGAAAGATATAACAATATAAATAGACAAATAAAACGCGACATCAACAGAGCTAAAGAAGATTGGCTGACACGCGAGTGCCACGAACTGGAAGAACTTACATAGACAACATAGAAATAACAACAGCAAACCAGCGAAACGACTGCCTGGAAATACTTCCTTCCGAACTCAAGTATGCTCTAAAAAACAGTAATAATAAAAAAGCCGCAGGCCATGACAGGATGCCAATCGAACTCCTGAAAGCACTCGATGAAGAGAACATCAGGCTAACACAAATGTTTAATGATGTGTACAATTCCGGAAACATCCCAACAGAATGGCTAAAATCAACTTTTGTTCCATTACCTAAAAAGAACAACCCAATGTCAGGCCATGATTACAGACTTATCAGCCTCATGTGCCACCCCTTGAAGATCTTGCTGAAGATTGTCCAGAACAGAATTTATAAGAAATGCGAAGAACAGCTGGACAACTTGCAATTTGGCTTTAGAGGAGGAATGGGAACAAGAGAAGCGTTGTTTGCAATGACAGTACTTATCCAGAAGAGCCGAGAATACAACAAAAGTATATAACTAACTAAAACTAAACTAACTAACCAAAACTAACCAAAAAGCGTTTATAAGGTGCAACACATGAAATTAATAAATGAACTGAATAACATCCAACTAGACCAAAATGATATAAACATAATTAAAAGCATATATTGGCACCAGACAGCCACAGTAATAGTCAACAACTTGGAGACGGATGAGGTACGATCCAGCGAGGCGTTAGACAGGGATGTGTACTCTCACCGGCACTCTTTAATTTATACTCTCAGGTAATCTTTCAAAAGGCTCTTTCGGACAGAGAAGAGGGAGTTAGGATTGGAGGAGAAATTATCAACAATATACGATTTGCGGACGATACGGTAGTCCTGGCTGAGTCTCTCGAAGACCTACAATTGCTGGTGGATAGAGTTTACAACGAAAGTCGTGCAATGGGGCTCACAATTAACATAGAAAAAACTAAATTTATGGTTGTCTCAAAGAACCCGGCCAGGCAACATCAGTTATACATAGAAGAACGAGCTGTTGAACAAGTCGAAAACTACAAATATTTGGGAGCGTACATCACCTCTGGCCTAGATCAAGATCAAGAAATAAAGGTCAGAATCGAAATAGCAAGACAATCATTTCTTAGTTACAGGAAGATACTCTGTAATAAAAACTTGTGTCTCAGTTTGCGATTGAGGTTCGTCGAATGCTATATATGGTCACAATTATTATATTATAGATCATCAAAAAATTGGAAGCCTTCGAGATGTGACTGTATAGAAGGATACTAAAAATTCCCTGGACGGATAGAATCTCAAACGAAGAGGTCTTACGAAGAACTGGCCGCGGTAGAAAATTAATAACTTTAATAAAAAGACGCAATACCGCATATCTGGGGCACATCTTAAGAAATGATAAATACCGTCTACTACAAACTATTATGCAGGGAAGACTAGATGGAAGAAGGGGTATCGGAAGAAAAAAGAAATCCTGGCTAAGAAAGGTCAGGGACTGGACAGGGTTGAATGTGGGGGAATTGTTTCATGTTGCGAGGGATAGAGAAGCGTTTACTGGAAGAAGAAGATTATCGAGAAAATGTCAGCATCGCTTCTTTTTTTCCTCGCTAAAATGGGATTATTCACAATTTTCCTTACAGTTAATGTTGGAATTTTCGTGAATGTGGCCGTTTCTTCTAAAGATGCTAGCTTGCTGGCACCACGTTCAATAAACATTGTTTATAACTTGCTTAATCTGAATAGAATAGTGTTTTCTACATTTGGGCGGGAGCATCTCCTGAGATATAGACTCGCACATATTTTGCATAATTCGCACACGTTTCAACACACGCTATATTACACACGCAATAAGAATGATTACTAATAAACTTAAACCAAGTAGTATACCAAACCAAAAAATATTAAACATAGGTAGGTATAAAATTGTTTTCTATTACGGACCACAATTTTACCTGAATTTAAATTCCTAAATTTTAGGTTATAATCTTGTTGGATTGTATGTTAACAACCACCCTTGGATAATCCCATTCAACAGCAATTGGTCACTTTCTTATATCTATGAACAGACCTTACCTATCTATTTTTCCGGAAAACTGACCAATCGGTTTCATTCCAGTTTAATGTTCTATTTTTCTAACAGATATTTCCGGATATTCAGTTACAGTTTGTAACATATTATTTACTTTTTCTTCATTCCAGGATTTATTTCTGAATTAAAACCGATTTCATAAACGTTCCATGTTGCTTAAGACAGTTAATTTTCCAAAATTTTTTTTAACTCGGTTGTTTTTTCTCTGATAGTTATTTGAATACATACGCCCAGCTTTACATAAAATGCTATTTAAATACATTATGTAGTTTTCTCACTGACCAGATGAAAAATCCCCCAATCTTATCGAACTCAAAAAGTTACAACGAGAAAGCAATCTTTATTTTTTGTTGTCTCTTTAAATCACACCCCAAATTAAAACAAAATAGGCAAATTTCAGTTTTTTTTGGCGTATCAAGTGATGGAACTTCTTTAGTTTTCTCAACAACACGTTATCAACCTTTAAATTTTGCAATCTCTTATGATTTCCAAAATCCCCATAATAGACATCTTTACTCTGGGATAAACTGTAAACCAAAAGTAAGGTCCTTGGAACTTTTTTGTTTCGCAACGTGGGGATGAAATAATTCCATTACATCGTAAAGAAACACCAGAGAAGTAAAACAAAATGCATTCGACGAAAGTACCCACAATGGCTCTGAGTAGTGTAACCGGTCCGGAAGCACTGCCTCCTGGCGATGGCGTCCAGACTCGTGGCGTGCGCCACCTGGTGGGCGGGCGCGGTCACCGCGTTCGGCGTGGAATAGTGTAGGTGCCTGTAACCAAATCTGAATCGCTCCAATTCGATCGCGAATCTACAACGCCGACACCTCCTCACCTATTGTTATTACTACCGTTGTTGCTGGCCCCTCTGGCTGCCCGCTCCTGGCTTTCGCCCCTTTCGAACGAGGCCTGGTGGGACGCGGGAGCGCTATGCGATATGGTGAGGGCTGTGTATTCGGTCACCCGGGACGTGACCGCTGCGGGGCTCATGTGCGGAACCCCGGGGGGTACCGAAGTGCCGTTCCCGCCGAATACGGGGGCCTCCGAACGAGACACCCACGTCTGCTCGGACAGGATCGGCGTCGGCGAGTTCGACGTCAAGGGACTGTGAAGTAACGTCACACGACAATAAACAGATATGTTCCACGACGTCACAAGACAGTAAATAACAATCAAGAGCCGAATATGCTCGCTAGGAACCAACTATTTAATCTTCGTTCGTTCAAATAACTTTCAAGTGATTTATGTTCGTCTTATTTTGCCACATTCGGGTCGAGTTAACAGGCAGGTAATTTAGAAAAAAATAAATATCACATTTGGATTGTTCCAGTCTCGGTTGCTTAGAAATCAAAAAATCAATCAGATCTGGCTCGAATTCTGCTCTGTACCTGCTTATATATTGTTTGAGAGATGCGGATAAAGGAGGGGCATGAACGTTGTCAGAATTTTAGTTTTATCTAATAAATTTTGATGTTCGGTTTGATGATTGTGTTCGACAACTGCTGGTGAGTTTATTTGTCTTAGTCTTAAGGCTCTTTCATATTCTTTGAGCCTAGTTGATATTTTTCGTCCGGTCTCTCCAATGTATTCTTCGCCGCATATGTGTGGAATACTTAAAATTGCTAAAAACTAAAATTTTTGTTTTAGGTAGAAGTTGTCGAGGGCTTTCTTTTTGAAGGCTTCCATAAATAAAATCGCGATGACTGGTAATAATGGAGTTGTTTCTGACGCAAAACCAAAATTGTGGAAACACTAGGTTGATTATATTTGCCCTAATGGTGAAGAATCTCTCTCCTAGATTTTCTTCTCAATTTTAACTCTGTACACCCTACCACACATTTTAGCATTGCATTAGAAACTAATAATCTTTCATTCTTAGATGATCTTATCAATAGAAAATCAAACCTAACATTCGGTCATTCTACGCACACAGACCGATGTTAATGCATTGTCGTATCCCCATCCGGCCCAAAAATCATCGGTTATCAACTCTCTTGTCTACGTCTACGTCTGCTCTAATCTCTAATAATTTCCACATTAGAGATGGCTTTCCATCACAAAATACACTTCACCACAACCTTGCAAAGACAATAAATCCGAAAGCAAACCCACACATGCCACTGTTGTCGGTCCGTCACAGACAGAATTCCAGTAGTTTACAGCATTCTATGCCTATGCGGCAAAGAATACATTGAAGAGACCTGACGAGAAATATCAACTAGGCTCAAAGAACCCGAAGGGGCCTTACGACTAAAACAAATAAACTTAGCAACTGTTGCCGAACACAATCACGAAACCGGACATAAAATTTTATTCTACCAACGAAAAATCCGAGAGTCTATAGAAATCTATAAGCAACCAAACAATCTTAACCGCGGCTCAGGTTTCACCAATGTTGGAATCAGTCATGCGAGAATGTTCATGTCCCTCCTTTAGCTCCTCCCCCCTCAAACAACATATTATCGGATACGCGCTAATTTCAGTTAAACTCTGAACAACAACAACAAGTATGATTTATAAACAACCAACCCAGGAGGAATCGAGATTTGTAAATCGCATTACAGTAGCCTGTGGAAGTTTGTGGAAATTAAAATAAATATTTTTGGAAGTTTGATTACGGCAGTTTTGGCCAATAGATGAACTACTATGTGTGTTTGTTAAGATTAACTTTGAGCATATTTTCTATGATAAATGCAGATTTAGTAACGCTCTAAACAAATAGGCGGGGGAGGTGCGTTCAGGGCATCCCATTTTGGGTGGTTTTGCGGAATATCTCCATTATTTTTATAGACAGAAAGTTGCGGTTTTGGCGAGAGTGTAGTACTTTTAGTTTTGAAGATACAGAGCTTAATTCAAAATATCGCAAATTCAGGCAACCCTCATATCTCAATTCATCGCAAATGTGATAAACGTCTCTTATATATATTCTCCGGTAGAACTCAACTCCGCCTTCGTAATTAGTATACAGAGCCAGGTCAAAAAGTTTTCGGACTCTAGTTAATTTTTTTAATACGTTGCAATTTTTTTTGTTTATCTTTTAAAATATATATAATCGAATCAAGCAAATAAATCACAACTTTCAAAAATTAAACGCATAATTTAAAAGTAGGCTAGGGCCATTGTTCATGACATCAAACAAAAACAAATGTCAAATATTCTCAGCTATTTTTGGGTTGATTTAAAGTAGTTTATTTCCGTTCTTTTGGTGTTTTGGTTTGATTAATACTTCTTTTTTTCTATAATGTCAGTGGTATATTTTATGAAAATTCAGAAGAACGTTCGGAATTATATTTCCAAGAGTGAATAAACTGTTATGGCTAGGAGGTTTGTACTTGTTGGATACCCAGATCCAAGACAAACGTTTTTTGAGATATTTGCTCGTTTACGAGCAAATTTAGTTGAGTACTGAACTTGTGAAGGAAATTGTTGTACAAAAACTAATGGTCAGTACATCTTAAAGAAATTTAAGAATCATGCATTGATGACCCAAAATCTTTTTGGAATCAAGTAAATAGTTTGCGAAGGTCAAGTATATATCCCGGTAATATGTATTTGGGTGACGAGGTTGCCGACTGTGGTCTGGCAATTTGCTTCTACTTATGAAAAGTGTGAGGCTGTAGTTCCTAATTATAGTTTTGACTACAGTTTAGATTTTAACTCCATGAGTGTTTCACTTACTGATGTGTTTGAGAGTATTATGAACTTACAGACTGGATTTTAGCATGGCCCGGACGGGATTCCATCAGTCTTGATTAAGAATTGTGTGTACTTTGAGTAGGTCACTACAGCAAATTTTTAACCTGTCCTTGTCTTCAGGAATTTTTGCTGATTCTTGGAAGGTTAGCTATTTGGTACCGATTCACAAGAGTGGTGATAAAAGCGATAATGTCGCTAATTATAGAGGCGTTTGCATACAGTCGGTGGTTCCTAAACTGCTTGATAGGTTATTTTGTGAGAGACTTTCGTGGTATTGCAGGGGAATTCTGGCCGATCAACAGCATGGGTAGATCTACCGTAACAAATTTACTCACCTACCAACAATTTGTATTGAACGCGTTTGAGGAGTTTGATCAGGTGTATTGTGTCTACACGCACTTCTCGAAGGCGTTTGACCGAGTGGGTCATGTGCATCTTGTCTCTAAGCTTAGAGATATGGGCCTGGGGGCCGGGCTGGTGCAATGGATTAGGTGTTTTCTGTCTGGTTGTACTCAGTCGGTTCGTATCAATAATTATGTCTCAGGTAAAAATTGATATTTTTTCGGGAGTCCTCTAAGATTCTCACACTGAACCCATCCTTTTTAACTTGTTTATAAATTATATTGTTAGTGTAGTTTCAGAATCGCAGTGCCTTTTGTTTGCGGATGATTTGAAGATATTCAGGATTGTTGGATCGGGCGAGGATGCTCTGCTGCTTCAGAGAGACGTAGACAGTGTTTGGATGTGGTCTAAAATGAATCGCCTTGCGTTCAATGTAAAGAAATGCTGTAGTATTAGCTTTAGTCGTTCGTTGAGTATTAGTGTTAAAGACTTGGGTGTTTGCTTCGATTCTAAACTAAATTTTGTGACATATTTTGCGGAAGTAGTAAACAGGACAATGCGATCCTGGGGTTTATTGTACGCAATAGTGGCCAACTTACTCCAAAGTGCCTTAAATTCCTTTATATCTTTTTGGTTCGCTCTGTGGTATGGCCTCCATATTATGCCTGTCATATAGATAACCTCGAAGCCGTTCAGAAAGAATTTTTAAAGTCTTTGGCTCCAAAGGCGCATACCAATATTAATAATGGGTATCAGATCAGCTACTGTATTATAGCTAAGGCCTTCAATACTCTTCAAACCAGAAAATCTCAGAGGGATTTAGTTTTTCTCTTTAAGATTCTGAATGGCCAGCTCTTTTGTATAGGATAGCTTACCATCGCGGAAATTATGGAGTTTAGTCACCCCTTACTAGAATGCTGAAAGCGTGAAACTGTCTAAAGCTTGATCCTTTTGTCAGCAGCCTCCGCTTATTTCGTTCTGATATGTTCCGTTTGAGAGCTTGCACTTAATTCTATTTATTGTTATTGTTACATTTTGTTCTGGTTTCTAGTGGTTATACTACTTGTGAGCATAATAAAATTTCAGCTGTCACAAACGGCGTCAAAAATATAGGCCATTAAACACAGGTCATTTTTGACTAAAAAATGGTCATAAATCCAGAAACAAAATATAGGTTTGGTTTTCCACATATTTGAAAATAATTTTAAACTTTTGAATTTAACTTTTTTTTTTCTAAAACAAATAATAAAAAAAACAGTTTTCATATTTTCGATAAGTACTCAAAATGGGACACCCCGTACATATCTGCACAAAGTTAAACTCACACTCTTAGTGTGAAGTAGATTTGGAAATAATATTTCTCCCTCGATACATTACTTTGTATTGGACCCTCAGGGAGCCGCAGGTTCGTAAAAGTTTAAGTGTCGCGAAGATGTGTGTCGAACTTCAGAGAAAAGTTTCTCTCATAACGTGGCGTCTCTCACAGTTGCTGTAAAAGTATATATTTTGTAACAACGAGACGTAGCAATTTGGTGAACATCTATCGATCTAAAATAATTTTAGGGTCTCATTGTTCCTGATTATAATCAAAAGTACTGGCAACTTTAATTTTTTTCTCAGCTGTCATTTTTTGATCGCTTTCCTAAAATACTTAACTATCCCCTGCTTTCCGAGATAATTATCAACTTTTATACTTTTCATTTGTAACATTTACAAATCTAAAATTTTCTCCGCAAGTGGCAACTGGAATAACTCTTGTTGGTTAGAAAATCATTGTTGTACAGTCTTACACAAAAATAGTAAAAAGGCGATTTTCTGATAGTAAGTAGATAAACAAAGTCGGTTCATCAGCGGAATTCGTTACATAACCTCAAAGTGTTTTCAGTTCATACATTATCTTCCGAAGTAAAAGCAGTTCTATAACAAAACCTAATTTTGATATATTCCTCAGTATTACATGGTTTTTTTATCCTGATTTTAAATACTTACTTAGTTAGCTTTCATGCACTTATCCAAAAGCATCTGAAGGCATATTTTGTTACTTTATGACAAAAACATCGTTTTTTGTATTCCCGTGTTTAGTACTTTTCCATTTAAAAAGTGATGAGTACGTAGATTGTCTCTTTTTTTATACTAGCATTTTACTTTGGGCTCGAGAAAATAAATAACTATTTAATGACAGTATATAATTGGCAATTTTTTGCTTTTGGGTAATAGTAGTAATAATAAATGGATAGCTAACCGGAATAATAAATATGGGTATTTTAATTTTTAATTTATATTTAAAGGAGCCTTGATTAACGGGCTTCGTATTGTTACTAACTTAGCATTAAAATTTCTATATACTTTTCTTTTTTTATATTTTGGGATAAAGGTAGACTTTTTTTGCTTATTGCGTATTATCTGCGTATATATATATATATATATATATATATATATATATATATATATATATATATATATATATATATATATATATATATATATATATATATATATATATATATATATATATATATATATATATATATATATAACAACTTTTATTTGTTTGCTAGTTGTATCTAACAATCTAACTATTAGTTACTACTTGCTTGGATATTACTACAAACTTTCAAAATTAGTCATTCAAATATTCGTGCTTTATATGGTAGATTTGCTGAGTTAAGGGCAATGCTGGAACAATTTAATTTCAATATTGATACATTAAATTTTAATATCTTTCTACAGTAGACTATAGTTTTTCTTTCGAAGATATTAACGTTTTAGACCTATTAATTCCACTAGCAGTACTTTTTGAAAATTACAATATGACACAAATTGTGGAAGAACCAAACTCTTATCTACGTAATGTTTATTCATTTCATACTATAAAATGATATACTGTGACCCAATCTAAAAAAGCGTCCATTGTTCCAAGTCATTAATTATGTTCTTTCAAAAATTTAAATTCAGAGTTATTTAAAATTGACTTGTTACTTGTTGCTACTTGTACCCTGGAATGATATAATTTATTAAATGAATATTGACAATAAAATTAAATTATTTAGTGGCTTCATTTAACCTTATTTGGCAAACGTGCTAAGTTGCAAATTACAAAACCTAAAATACACTGGCTTATTAATAATTTTAACATGGAGCAACGAGATAGTCCGTTACCCAAATTTAAAAGAAGAAATGTAAATGACTGGAACAATTGTAAACGCTTACGTAATTTTCTTTCGTCAGCATTAAGAAGGGGAAAACAAAATTTGATGATTTTTTTTTCATTTTTACAAGTTGTTACAGACCGCAGAGAATGTAGGATTTTTTATATGAAAATAATGTATATTCTCATTTAATCAATTTTTTATTTAATCTGACAACAATTTCTCAAGTATATGACATTTTAAATCATGTTTATCTAATCCATGTGTAGATGAATACAATGATGATGTTTTCACTTTCTGTCTTGATGTGGACAGCAAAAACAGAATACAAAGAGTCCCAGCTATACAACTTGCCATGGCTGGCGCAAGTTTTTAACAACAAAGACACCGAGTCACTGTATTTCGTTATAATATTCATCAGAGTGCCGTGTTTCAGCATTCGCTTTCTTATAATACTTTGGCAGTTGATTTATTAAACTTAAATATTGAACATTTTAAATCTAAATTTAAAAAATGTTTATCCGATCGCAACCTAATAAACAATCCCAAATAGAATCGATATCTTTGCTTTTCTCTGTCAGAGCTACATCACATTCTGTCCTTTTACCTATTTTAGGAGTTATTTATTTCTATATAAGACTAGAAACTTCAATATTAGGGCCTAAATCTTTCTCAGCTTGTTTTAGATCATTTAAATTCATTTCACCCTCCTCGATATCACCTTATACTTCAAAATAATATGTTCCATCATAATTTGCTCTTCATTTTCTTCTTCTAAATCATTCATAAGAATAGAATAGTGTTCTTTATCCGATAAGGTCTTTTAACATGCCATTCTCAATTATAAATCACAAACATTACTTTAGGCTCAAACGTAACAAAGTCAACTCAATAGATATAAAATTATATTCCAGTGAAATTAGGGCTAAACGTGTTTCAACTTGCACGAAAAGAAAGTCGTTAAGAACAAAATAAATTAAACCGTAGAATAACATTATTACTCACTTATTATTACTTATGTTTTAGCAGGGAATTTTAGGAGAATTCTCAAAAGGAAAAAAATCTTTAAAATATTTATAGTTATAAGGAAAAAATATTTGCTCAATTTTTACTTGGTTTCAGTCACTTGAAGATTGAGGAATAAAACATGTCCAACAATACGTTTTTGTTCATTTCTTCTTCGACTTAGTTTCAATGTGTACATCAAAAACTTGAAAATGATGAAAAGGGTGCCAAAGTGAAAATTAACTAAGCAAGTTAAATATCACTGTTTTAATAAAAGTGGAGGGTGAAGATAAGCACAAAAGAAAATTGTAACAGACCATCCGACATTTGGGTTACTTGACGCGATTCAATTTACCATTTTTCCAGAGTGTCTTCTTCCTCCTCAGCGGCGGTGACATCGCTCGGAGGAGTGAGATAGCCGGCCAGCCGTAGTCCCCTGCCCCGCCCTAATCGCAAGCTCTGACGGAATGACGCCCGAGCTCTGTCGACTTGAACAATAACAACAGTAAAAGAACTTGAAATTGACAACGACGTCGTTCCGACGTAAACTTTAGAATATACTCACATTTGCTGAGGCGATTTTTCGCGACGGGACTGTTCTCGAGGGAAGGCGCGGGAGCCGTGGTGAGGTCCTCGAAGTTAATGATGATCAGGCTGATGTCGTCCACTTCGCTTCTGATCGGAGCGATCACTTCCGAGCATAGGAACTTTGAGCCTGAAAGAGAACGTCTTAATTAATAGCTGCGTCTTGCAATTACTATGTATAAGCCTCGAATAGCTTTCTCATTAGTTTCATTGTCGGTTATGGTAATAACATATTGTCCAAACAAAGATTTTATTTGTTATACTCAAAGCTTACTCAAATAAAATAAAAGAAATTATGAAGGCAAAGAAACAAAAATGTAAATAAACTCTCACACTATCAATTAAAACAAGAAAGACAAATTTATACCGGGTGTCTCAGTAAGGGTACGGTACGAAACAATTTGAAAATAAAATTATTAAGTTAATCTGCTGGAAATTATTTTTGAGGTTATGAAATGGCACCCAGAGAGCGTAACTGTGATCTTGAATTTTAAAACCAGTTTCCTGCAAAATTTTCTTATATTAATCATACTTACAGTGAACACTGTTTTAAAGCTGAGACAAATTCAAATCTTTTTTGCAAGATGCTTAGAAGGAAAGTGGTTGGAGACGTTCCAACATTTCCCGAAGTAAGTGTCATTAAAAAGGGCTATGAGTACAATGATCCTAATTTTGCAAAGAAAATTTCACATGCTACTGTTATTTATAAATCAAACTTTCTGACGTTTCGCTAATCATCCTGTTGGTTTCTTCAGAGCTAACCTGAAACTGATTTGCATTCTACTCTGTACCTACTTATATATTCTTTGAGGGGGCGGAGCTAAAGGAGGGGTATGAACTTTGTCTCGGATGACTGATTCCCAGGTTGTGTTGCAGTTAAGATTGTTTGATTGCTTATAGATTTCTATCAATTCTTGGATTTTTCGTTAGTAGAACAATTTTAGTTTTATCGAATAAGATTTAATATTCGGTTTCGTGATTGTGTTCAGCAACTGCCGAAAAGTTTATTTGTCGTAGGCTTTTTCATGTTCTTTGAACACTAATTGACATGTTTCGTCCCGTCTCTCCACTGTACTCTTTGCCGCATATGCACGGAATGCTTTAAACTGGTATCTCAAACGGAATTTTGTCTTTGTCGAGTTGTAAATCTGATTGTGACGTTATATTTTTTAAGAACTTTTGGTATGGTCAGTGATGTTTTAAATGTAAGGAAACTATCTCAACCCGAATCACTGAATGCAGAATTAGAAACCTTTAATAATTTCCAAGATATGCTACAGCGTTTCATCACAAAATACACTTCACCACAACCTTCGAAAGACAATCAGTCCGAAAGCAACCCCACACTTACCAGTGTCCTTCCTTACATTCAAAACATCACAGACCATATACCAAAAGTTCTTAGAAAATTGTTATGTTGAAATCAGATTAACCACTTGTCGAAAAGTCTCTCAACATCTTCGATCCGTTAAAGACAAAAGAATTTACTACATCCCATGCACATGCAACAAAGAATATATTGGAGAGACTGCCTTAAGACTAGGACAAATAATCACAAAATCGGACATCAAATTTTATTCGATAAAACTGAGATTCTTGCATGTAATCAACTCTTCTACCAACGAAAAATCCGAGAATCCATAGTATTCTATAAACAACCAAACAATCTTAACTGCGACTCAGGTCGTTACCTGCCCCTTTCTTTAGTTCCGCCCCCCTCAAACAATATTTAAGCAGGTAATGAGGTGTAATACGAGGCAGGTTCAGTTCAGCGCTGAAGAAGCCGACAGGATGATTGGCGAAACATCAGCAAGTTTGGTTTATAAACAACAGAAGATTTGTAAGTTGACTTTTTATATTAATCGAAAATATGACTAAACGAATTCAAAACGCAAAAGAAGTTGAATTTTCACTCTAGGGGTGTTATTGAAATAAAAGTTCCTTGTTTATCTTAGTTTGTATTTTTTTTTAAGTACCATAGACAGTATTACTACGTTATGATATCCTTAGATGTTTTCAAATATTGGTTATTATTATTTTTTTTTATAAAAAAATAGGTTTGGAAGCTCATTAACATTGTTAAGGACAAAGTTGATTAATTACTGATAATACTGATTGTGTAGTAAGTAAAAAACCATGAAAGAAATAAAGCATTTCCTTGGACAGAAATTATTTATTCCTAATTATCGAGATTGTCACTAGTAATACCACTAGAGATTCAATTATTTCCAGATTTCATTTGTCCTTGTGTGTTAGTCCGTACGAAAATTCCAAGCCAGTAGTAATTAAAATTGATTTTGTTTACAGACTTTCATAGTAGCGCAGTTTCTATAAAAATCTCCAATATAATTTGGGTACCCACTAGGAAAAAAATTCCACTAAAACTCATCAGTTGGCATTTTATCTGTCATCTGTCTGTCTGTTTATCTGTTATTATAGTTTGCTTTTTTACTAGGCTGTGAAATTTGACGAATCAGAAAATTTGCCAATTTAAAAAAACGTTATTTGACGTTTGTCCAAATCTCTTAATTATCTACCGTTTTAAATATTCAGAGTTTAAATTTATCTAACCTTTGAGTTTTCTTACTTTTATGGCATTAAAAATGTTGGTTGTGTTTTCTCACTGTCACGAAAACGCATGTGTGATTGAACGAGTATACGGGGCAAATTATCCCAATAGAGGACATTTTCGTTGAATGGTAGGTATTTAGTTGTTTAAATAAATGTTTCCGCGAAAAAGGACGAGTTCATCCTAATCCGGTTAATGGACAAATTTATTTGAACCTTTTAAGAAACCACTTAGCGATTTTTTTAAAAACGAGAAGAGACATATGTGGCTGTCAGACAATCGATATCTTGCGAAGTTCGAATTTTTTTAGAATAGTATGGTGTTTTATCGTATTCAATCAAAAAGGAATTGCATTTGTCTCAACTTTAAAAGAGTGTTCAATAAAAATATCATTAATACAAGAAAATTTTTAAAAATTGAAATCAAGATAGCATTTCAGAACCTCGAAAATAATTTTCAGCATTTTTTTTCGCCCGACTTTTTTTTTGTAGAAATATTCGTTTCCCTAATACCGTACCTCGTTGCCCTTTCTGGGACACCAAGTATACAATAAGAAAGAAATATAATAGGGCGTTTTTTCAAATACTTTTTCTGTTTTGAAAAAAAAAATGATCCATCACTATTCCATAAAGTATAAAAATATCAACTAATAGAATAAAAATAAAATGTAATTATTTTTAATTATTTAAATATTAAAACTTTTAGTTATTTTGAAATATATAGTATTATCACTGATTTTTTCACTAAAAATAACACTAACTTTATTTTTAACTTTACTTTTATTTATTCACTAACTGCGTCAGTGAATAAAACATTTTGTTTGACTGAAATAATTTATTTTATAATTATCAAGATTGCCATGAGAACAATTTTGTTTTTATCTGACCAAACGCTCGAATATTTCATGTCGTTGTTTCATGCTTGTCAAAGTCTCTTGATTACCTACCGTTATATTTAGATGATCCGCACCACAGCTTTAGATTTAATAGTTTTTGATATATTTATAATTAGGTCATCGGTGACCGTGGTCAATTCAAATCGATAATGTATTAATTAATTATTATTGGAAATTGTTAAATAAGATCTTAAAATGGAGAATATAGTGAAGGTTTTTTTAACATTAAAAAAGTTTATTATTTATTATGTACAATTTGTTTATCTACGAAATTCTTTTTTTTTTAATTTACCATTTATTCATTGAAATTTATACAAATTATTAAATACTATTTAAAGTAACCAAACTTCTTAAAAAGGGAAAAAAACCGCTTAAGGCAATTTTCGAGAGCTGTTATGGCGTTCATATTTGACGTTAGTTGTTAAAATCAGCTGTTAACGGGAAAGCTGATATTAATGAAGCAGTCATAGCTCACTTGCGGCATTAAAAATTCATATTTATTTATTCATGTTGCAACAAGCAACGCAAGGTGAGTAAAAGGACCAAGAGGAAGAAGAAGATAAAGAAGTTGATCTGAAACCACCACCAACCCACCAGCAAGCACTAACAACCCCTATATTCAGTTACGCTACAGAGAAATTTTTAACGGGGATGCGTATTGCCAAACTAAAAAATTAAAAAAAAAGACCGATTATTTCAGACATTAAATGTAGATGTTAAAATAAGTATATAAAATAATTAAGTATTACTTATTACAAAACACATATGTGCATGTGTCTTTATAATGAAGAAAAAGCAGTCCCTTCAACTTCGCTATATAGACTTTCTACTGTATATTAACCTCTTCAACTTCGTCAGTGAACCTACGATTAAACTTATTTTATTTATCATAATAAAATAGAAATCAGGTGACCCCCGACCCGCGTAAGGAAGAGAGACAATCGGAAACGCGGGAGACTACCTGGATTACCTGGAACTTCCCGGAGTGAACGAGTAGATGCGCGTAAAGCTCGGTCCCGACGGCGATGACGCGACAACCCGATATGACACCGACATTCACGTTACGGCGCGACGTTTACGCCACCGAGGCCATATTCTTAATAGTCTTTAGCCTAATATTCTTAATCTGTGCCCCCTTCCGAGGCGTTTTCCATATTGGGTTATCGATCAACCGTGCGAGGGATGAAAGGGCGGGCGGGCCCTTTCTAGCCAAATTACGGCGGCGCTTACGTATACAAAGCGGGTCGTTTTATATGCCGTGTGCAATAAAACACGACGTGTCGTTTGCCGGCATTTGGAATATTCAACGGGTAAAGGTCTCGCAACACGCGGCGTTTTTCGCTCTGCGGTCCCTTAGATGGAGCTAGTGTTATAAGCCACATCTGGACAATCCACCGCCAATGTTTTTTTATCGAACGAAAAATCATCGAAAATTATGTCTGCCGGAAAGAAACGAAACCGAAATATGGACCCAGTTCAGGTTCGGTGTTCAGATAGAGAGGTTAGTGCTCTTAATTCTCTCTCTCCCACTAACACGTGTTCCCATTTTACCGGTGAGTTATATTAACTAACTAATCAGCATACAAATTACAATCCATTAAAGAGAACTGTCCAAATGGACGTCTTTGGGGGGGATATCACCCCCCAACAAATTAAAAGAATTATA